GCATCATGAGCCAAATTTCTGAGAGTTTGAGCAACAAAATATGCTGATGCACTGTCGAGACCAGTGGTGGGTTCATCAAGGAACAAGAGAGTTGGCCTTGTGAGGATTTCAAGAGCAATGCTCAGTCTTCTCTTTTCTCCACCGCTTATACCTCTCAAGTGCCAATTCCCTATTATCCGATCTGCACATTCTTGAAGACCCATTTCCATAATCGTTCCTTCTATTATCTCATTCACCTCTTCTCTCCTCATGCTCCCTGGAAGCCTTAGATTCGCTGAGTAATATATAGTCTCTCTCACTGTCAGAGTTCCCAGCATTGTCTCTTCTTGGGTCACATAAGCCTAAACATATCTCATTAATTAGCACTGAAATATCTAAAATGGATTTTTCTTTCAACATTTACACGCATACTTACAGTACCACCATATTCCAATCTCCTCTTCTTTCCATTTAGAAACACATTTCCAGACATGATAACGTTTCTGGAGAGTCTTCCTGCAACCATTTCCAGTTATCTGATGTTAATATATAGAGCTTCTGTCATCGTAATTAAGAAACTCAATAATACCACTAAACTAGCTGCAAAAATTCTGATATAAAGTTAAGTAATTAAGAAGTGTAATTCAAACTCAATTTCACCACAAACAAAACTGACCATTAATAAATGAAATGATCTTGTAGTTCATGTGAAATAATAAACTTGACAACATCTATTTTTATTAAGATAAACTAATTTGTAATTCTGATACAATATTAAAAATTGATTTGAAAGTAATCCAATAATAGATAATATAATAAATTCAATAAATAATAATTTGTGTTATGTAAATAAATTCGACCAAACAATCTGGTTTGCTGTAGAACAAAACAGCTAACTAAAGTACAAAAGAATAGAATGAATTTATGTAAGGATTATGAGGGAAAAAAGGTACATACCACAAAGCTATCGTAAATACAGATTCATTTATTCCTACCTAATTTCCTAACCAGGTTGGTCTATTCCACCGACTTTTTTTTCTTTTTTAATTATGCTTATATAAAAGCCTGTTTTGGCTGAGGGTTCCGTTTGGATGATACAACATTACTACAGTTATTTTTTTCTTTTTCAGAATCGATCTCAGACAGTTTTCTTTTCATAAATATCTCTGTATGGTTAGAAATATTGAATAGAAATAAAAAAAATAAATGAAATATAAAAAATTTTGTAAAGATTGAGCTTTAAAGTTTTGTATTAAAGGTGATAATAAGATAATAATAGTAAATCTCCTGTGTATCCCTATAAAAATAATCCCAGCGTGTATAAGATATAGTAAAAATAACAATCTTCTTTTTTTACCACATTTTCTATATAAATATTTGAAAATTGAAGTTGCCCTTCTGTTGGAGGGCTTCATAGGTTTTGACCTAGTCTCTTATAATTTTTCAATTTCTTTATTTTTATTTTATATATATATATATATATATGTATGTATGTATGTATTTATATTTACTTTTTAGGTATGATAGTTAAAACTTGGGATTTACAACTTTGTTAAAAATCTCTGATTTTACAATGATGCTATACCAAACCTTTTATTAAAAAAATGAAAATATGAAGTAAAGGAATATTTTAAATTATTTACTAAAGTTAAATAAAATAGAAAAATAATTCAGATTAGTTTGGTGAAGTAGATGGAAAATAATGAAAAGGTTGAATCTCCATGCAAGAGGTAGATATAGTTACTTAAAAGCCAATAAATGAACTGAGGTTTTTGAAATGAGGAAAGAGTCATGGGAAGTAAAACCTCCCTGTTTGGTCATTTACATGTCAATCAAGAGAAATAGAGTGAGAAAATATATAAAAATAATTAAAAAGAAAAATAAAAATTAAGAACATTTTATTAAAAAATAGAAAAAATTAAACAAGGATACTAAAAATAGGTGACAATGTCATAAAAGACTTTCAGTCTCTTACTTTCATACTAAAGAACACAAATGAATTTGGTTGTCTATTTTTTTTTTTTGGATTTCTTCTGAATCAAAGAGCGACAGAAGTTGTTTTGTTCAAGAGTTGTAATAAATAAAAAGCTAATGGAACAGGAAATAATGGAACAATTGAATGGTTCCATTGCTCATTTTCTGGCTAAGCATAAATCTGCAGTCAACACTTACACAGTGAAAATGTTTCCATGAATAAAGGTCTCATATTAATGTTATCCTGCTTCTTTGTTTTTCTATGTTTGCAACTCATTTATTTAGTAGGGAAGATGACACTGTTCCTTTGATTGGAATCGACACATCATGTACTAAAAAAACTCAGATCAAAACAAAAACAGGAACAGTGTAATTGTTTAGACGAACAAAGGAGAAGAAAAAAATAGTACTAAGTTAACTCAGAAATTTTAAGCCTTGTTTGAAGAAAGGTAAAGCAGACAACATACGAAATCTTCTGTGTTTTCTCACTGTTCATTTCTTCCAGTTTTTCATTTTTTCTTCCATTTTTTCTCACTGTTCATTTCTTCCATTTTTTCTTCCATTTTCTCTCACTGTTCATTTCTGCTTCCAAGCTAGAAAAAAATACGTTTTCTCTCCCGAAATCTTCTGTGAGTAGATCTAAATAACCTCACAAATTCTATTTATTATATAACATATAGAAAGAGAGCACACACAAACATTCCCCCACATGAAAGTTCATCTAAAAAATCAAACTTTCTTAGTCATCTTAATAAAAAATTAAGATGAAAGAAAAATTCACCCAAATAAATCAAAGTTTCTTGGTTTTCTTCTGATTCATCTCCTCAGCTGGCATCTTAAAAAACAAACTTCTAACACAGATTCTATATTTGTATTATATATATATATATATAACACATATATATATATATATATATATATGAAAAAGAATGCACAAAAACACTCCCATAGAATAAACTAAAAGGAAAGACATGAATATGAAAATCTGTTAATGATAATAAAAAAAGTATCATGGAAGAACAAACCTGAGGTTCCATTAATTGTGCAGATCACAGCAAGAAAAGCAAAAGGGTGTGTGAAAGTACATCATTTATAAGGTATGTTATCAAACGTGAGAATCATATTCAAAAGTACAACAAAAGCGACGTGTACAGAGAGAGAGAAACACCAATGATGAACAGAAAGAAGGAAGTTGAAATGAACCTGCTAAAGCGTCAAGAAGAGTTGATTTTCCAGAGCCAGAAGGACCCATTATAGCCATGATTTTGTTAGGTTCAGCATATCCACTCAGCCCGTTAAGCAATCTCTTAGTGTGTCCATCTCCGAAATTTGGAACCACAACAGTTAAATCTTCCCATACAAGGTACATTCCTCTCTTTTCTGAAACTTCCATGGTTTCTCTACACTCTGCAACACCCTTTTGGTTTGCAGTGACTGATTCTATTTCCATTGTTCCAAAGATGAAAAGATGGTTTGGTTGGAAAGAGATGAAAGAGGGAAGCAGAAATAATCGGAAAGTAGCCAGCCTGCTTACATACAAATAGATATATATGTACGTGATGGAAGGTATCAAAGAATATTTTTAGGTGGATTTTAAGTTAACTTTATAAAACTTTACGATATTTGCATCCACTTATATGGTAAATCTAGTTTTATTTAAATTTAATGTCGAATTTTCAAAGCATTCTTCATCTTATTTTAGTGAATAATAAACATTATTAAGATATATTTTAAATGACTTTTATATTATTTTAAGAAGTAAATTTAAATTTAAGGTAATTTTACTAAACTAACTTATAAAATTAGGTTTGTAACAAGTAAATTTATCAATGTAAAACATTTTTTACACCAATATATATGATAAATATATTAAAGGAATTTTTTATATATAAAACTTAATAAATAAAATTTTAACAGCTCAATTTAAAAAAACCGGTTTATAAAATAAAATTTATATACTTTAAATATGACTGTACTTATAATTGATATATGATTTTCAATACATTTCTATATCGAGAAATATATAATACTATTAATAAGTAATTCAATAACTATTGATAAAAAAATTTTTAATAAACAACTAATAAAATTAAGATGATTTTGAATAACTTTGGCATATCAAGAAACAATATTAAATTGAATTTAATTATATAAAATAGACTTGTAAAATAAAATAAAATATTCTTTGACACATCTAAATTTTTTATATTAACTTGATACTATCATTTCTTACTTTTTCACTGTTTTTTTTCTTAAATATACATAAATTTATACTTTTATGATTATTTTATCTTTATATTTTATGTGAAATGAATATAAAAGTGCGTCATTACTCGTAAAATAAAGTTTTGAATGGTTAAATTTGGTGTGGAATTTTGAAGGGAGGGAAAAATTAGAGGGAGCAGTGAGAAATGAGAATGGTGGTTGGTAAGAATGCGTAGTAATTAGTGTGTTCCAACTCCCACAGAAGAGAAGTAATAGTGATGCAGACCTCGTTGTTCAGTTAAGAGCATGCATGTGAAGGAGAGCGACACCTCTCAGCTTTATTAAAGGAATCACCATTTTCAAATCAAACATTCTAACTCTTCTTTTTCCAACAACCAATAAATCATTCTCAAATATATCAATTCTTAAATATCATCAAAATCTTAAATATCAAATCTTATATATCCACCAACAACATACATCAATTTTCATGCTTATCTAATTTCAGAGTCCAAAGTAATATTTTTTTACATTATACCATAGAATTACAAATTAATCTCTGGTGTTTGTGTGTTTAGAGGGAGACTTAAAAATTAATCTCAAGAAAAAAATGTATATAATCTTTTGACATTGTAACTTTTTCTATTAATTATTCAATTTTTCATAAAAAAAATTATGAATACTTATATTAATAGGAGATTAAGACCACAGCACGAAGTGATCATGTTAGAAAAAAGACACTTTCATCTAATATAATTTAGAATTACAATTAGTCTTTATTTAGTAGAAACTATTATCTGCAATCCAAAAGACTGTGTTTAATGTTACTAAAGAGTATTTAATGAGTGTATAAATTATAAAGAATGTTGGCAACACGTGGAATGTCGTTTTTCAAAAATTAAATATATTTTTCTCTCTTGATTTTAGAAATATATTAATTTAATTATTTTAATCAAATGATAAATTTATTTAATGTTTTTGTAGAAATATATAAACTATAATCTAAATAAGTGAACTCTCAATTTTTTTTTTCTCAATTCGGCTGTGGTAGTTCCTACGTTATTCTTACAATTAAAAAAATATCGTGAATGATTTCAAACTAAAAATATTGATTCTTATGCTTGAATTTTAATTATTTACCTTTATAATAAATTAAATTTGAATATTTGAAAATTTGTAAATAGTTTAAGTTATATAAAAATAAAGCTATGTAGTACCTACAATAGTACATAGCCTGAAAATTGGACCTGATTAGTACTATAACAGTTAGAAAATTAAAATCGATTGGGGTTGTTGTTTTCAAACCATATCCAACCTGCTTTACAATAAATTCCATAATGAAACTGCTGTGATATGAGAAGAAACCCAACATCAACAGACTTTGAAGTTCATTGAATTTTGCATGTTGCTATCCTCCTACACGTTATCTCAATCTTTCACATTTCACACCATTTCATATATAACACAAATGTACTTGTAAAATCCTAAATTCTTCTTCGCAAGATTGTACGAAAAAGAAATTATCGTTCGTTACAGTGGATAGAAATAAAGTTTCACATCGAATATAAAATAAGAGATAAACATGTGTTTATATACACATAAGATATTTTCACTGATAAGAGTCATTTTGGAGTGGTACCAAAAACAAATTCGCGAAGATTTGATCCAAAGCAGATAATATCTTACCAGTAGAAAGATCTATGTGTGTGGACGAAGTAAGCATTTATGCCTTAATTTTATGTATATTAAAGATCTCAAGATCTCATATTCATTCGTTGTGTTAAAAATTTCATAGACTCGTTAATGTTTAATTTCACATCCTATTTTAAAGATTTTATATAGATCGAAATAAGACAAATTTATATTTTTTACCAACAAATCAATTATATAAAATTAAATTAAACTTAAATTTCACTTCTTAATAATAATTTGTTTTCCTAGAATATTCTTAAAATTAAACCATATGAAAAAGAGATTCCTAAGTTTATTATCTTGAAATTTTAAATTAAAAATACATAATTCTGTCGTATTTATGATTAAGGAGACAAGAAAATGATAGTATTTTGGTAGGTGGGTATCATATTAGTAGCTATTTACTATTCCTAGGCACGGGGTACCAAACCCCAACTGCCAATTAAATCCTCAGATCAATCAAATATTTCATCTTCTTCATCCTTCTCCTTTTACTGAGGTGAAAAAACACCAATACATTACTACTACCTATGCTTCTTGCATCTTTCTCATACTTAATTTCATAAATAACCAAATATGTTCATCCTCAAAAAATTAACTATTTAAAGAGAAAAATATATATTACTTTAATTTAATTAAATATCTAGTTGGTATATGGATCCAACAAGATTTAATATAAATCATTTATTTCTCAAATCATAATTAGATTAAAAATTAAACTATACTACATATGAAGGGACGTTTATTCTATATAATTACAAGATAAAATTTTAACATGTATACGGATTAGAATGTATGTTGTTTGGTATTGTAGTATTTTATTATTTGAGATTTACTAATCGATAATAAGAGGATAATTTTATTAAAAAGGCATCCAAAAACTTTATTTCAAAAAATATTTCGCCTTAATTTCTATAAAAGGTAATCTTTTTTTTCTTCTTAAAACCATTTAAAAGAAAGAATATTTTTAAAAAGTTATTAATATTCTCTTTGTCCTCTCTCCCTTCCCTTTCTCTTCTTTCTTTTGGATAATTTATTTTAGATAATTTATTTTAGATTACTTTTAATAAAAAGGGTAGCAAGTGAAACTAATAATAAAAAATATAAATATATATGTCTTTTTGAAAAAAAGAGACGACAAATTCACACACACACATAATTTTTTATATTTATTTGATATTATTGTTTTTATCAAAACTATTAAAAATTATTTTTTTATAATTATTTTATTTTTGTAATATATGTTAAACGAATATAAACATGTGTCATTTTATAAAAAAGAAACTCATTTTAAGATAATAACGAAACTATTTTATCACGAAAATATCACACTTTTATAAATAAATCATTCATTTTATAGAGAATGCTAGTCATGTTAGGGGAAAACTGAATCCATATATTTTCCCACCCTCTCTGACCAAGTCATTCTTATAACAATGTCTGACTAAATTTTTATGAAAAATTTTCAACGAAATTTATTGTAATTCATTGCATGAACTATATAGATTGGATGTGCATGTGATGAATTGATACGTATAAAAATCTCTGCCTAGAACAGTATGAAATTGAAGAATTAATGAGCTAAAGTTACGGTGGAACATGTGGAGCAACTTTGGCTGTAAGTTACTTCAAATCAAAACACTGTGCAACCTTGTTACACCAGAATTGCAACTGCAGACTCATTATCACAGTTCACAACACTGGAAGAAGCACTCGACAAGAGAACGAGACTTGTCTGGCCATCTAATATCTTGCCCTATGTATACTTGTTTACATTTTTTTTTAATAACATCGGTTTAAAATATATAAGAGGGTATAGATCTCACCTTACAAGCTAGTCACGTTCGAGATGTATCTTAAGAGTTTACTTCAGATGAAAAAAATTATATAAATAATATCTTAATTCAAATAAGTGTACAAAATTATATAACTTTAAATAAATAAAATTTATAATTATATTATTCATAAAAATAAATATTCTAAAATATAAATACTTGGATTATTATCATTAATTTTGATGCATTTCATTAAATATATAACTTTTTAAGCTCGCAGAATCGCTCCAAACTTGTGATTCTACATGATTTTACCGATTTCACAGTCAAATTCTACTGAGTTTACGCAGAAAATGAGTTTACTTCTGAGTTAATTTAGAAGCCATGTCTAAAAACGTAAACTCATACGAGTTTACGAGTTAACTCGAGAGTTTGATAACCATGTCTATATCGACTAGAGATAAGACCGATTTAAAGTATATAATTAGACGAAGACCTCAACTTAAATTTTATGGAATAAATTAGACTTAAAATTGTTGGGTTCCTTTTGTCAATTCATGCACATAGTTGTATAGTATCTAACTTTATAAGTATCTTCATAATCTCTTGTGCTTTCTTCATCTAGATTTTCCGGCTCCTGTTGTCGGTGAAGGTTTCGGCGACTCCGCCACCATCTTCAATTTCTCAAGCTCGCAGCCCAGCCAAGAGCCTCTTCGCCGTGGGTTCCATCTCTGGTCGCTGAGGCACTCAATCCAACCTAGTTCACACGACGACTGTTAAATTTTTTTATATTAAAATATATCAAAATTTATAGACGAAAGATCTATTGAAAA